TTTCTTGTGGCATGTGAAATAACAAGAGTCCAAGAAAATAGACATGGAAAGAGAAATCTGAGATTAAGAGGCTGTGACTACAGTAAATAATTTACAGAAGTCTCCCAAAACTTCTACAGTAACCTGAGGTCAAAAAGGCAGTTATCACTACATGGTAACTAGATGACAGCTGGATTAAAACATGTTTCTCAAGTTGTTTATCAAGGAGAAACAGCAAACTGCAGAGTACAGAGATGCAGAGCTCTCTCCTGAAACACAGTCACAACTCCCTCAGGAGGACTGTTAGCGAGATGCTTCAGCACCGTTGGGAGAAACTCCTACCACTGTTTACTAAGGAGGCCCCAATCTTGATGCCGCTGGCAGTAGGGATGATTCTTTTCAGCTACTATTTTCCAGTATTAATGAGTGTCCTGGTTTTGGCCAGGACTGGGTTAATTTTCATCCTACTAGCTGGTATGGTGCTGTGTTTTGGATTTAGGATGAGAATAATACTGGTAACATATCAATGTTTTAGTTGCTGCTGAGCAGTGCCTGCACAGAGCCAGACTGTTTCCTGTTTCTGGTGCTGCCCTGCCAGCGAGGAGGCTGGGGGTGCACCAGGAGCTGGGAGGGGACACAGCCAGGACAGCGGCCCACACCGACCAGAGGGATGTCCCATGCCATAAGGCACTGTCCAGTAGCAGCAGTGCAAGAGCAGAGATGCTCTGTGCTAGATCCTCTCCTACCTGGTGCATGAGCATATATGTAAGTCTCAGACAGTGAAGACTAGATGATTACATGGATGCCCTAAACAGAGAAGATTGCAATCTAAGCAACACAAAATGCTAGACTTCCTCTTGGAATACACGCTGACACATTCCTAGAGAGATTAAAGCAAGAGAATTCAGGCAATGATCTCCTCCTGTGCAATGACCTTTCCAGGTAAAATTAATTAGACTGTGTTGCCTTTCAACCTCAGCTGTTACACAAGGGTTTTCTTTTACAATTCACAGATTGAAAATCTGTTATTTTTGAAAAACTCAATTAAACTGAGTGTTGTTTCTTAAGAGGACTTTCAACTAAATGTACAACCAGTTCATTCTGCCACTGTTAAAGCTTCTTATTCATGAAGACTGCACGAGATATTGTGGGAAGAAAAAAAAAAAAAAAAAAAAACTAACCACACACTCAAAACCTAAAAACACCATACCAAAGAATAAGAAAACAGTAAATTTGCTTATTTTAAATTCTCACCTTAAAATAAATTAATCTTAGGTTTTACCTGGCTAGCTAGGTAGCATTAAAATAGTACACTGCAAAGGAGAAGTAACTCTGAGTTTTACTACTATTAGTATCACTTACTAATAAAAGGTATATAAAAACATTCAAATTAGATAAAGTGATACACAGCCAAATTTAACATTAACATACAAATAGGACTGTATTTGAACCACACATTTTGACAGCCACTAGGCACTCAAAATCTAGCGTTCACTCCAGGATCACGCTATATTCTTTTTCCTGACAGAACAGTTCCACAGCTTCCACAGCTATATTCCAACACAGGAATTCAAGAACAAAAAGTAATCTGTTAACACTTAGTAAGGACATTTCCACAAAGAGTTTTCCTGTCCCCACTGCTGCATGTTTCAACAGCTCAGGAATCCAGCCCTGGTATTTCCATATTTACTTAGACCATAAAGATTAGCATTCCAGTAACTGTCAGCAACAAATCAGCTCAGCATAGCAGCAGTGGTGTGAACAGGCATGCACAAGGGGCTCAAAGTTTTAACAGCTATGTTATGAATACTTATAAAAACATAACTCAACTCCTGTAAAACTGAAGGCAAAGCATTTCACCAGATTTTCTTTTGTGTAGTGACCACTACCAGAAGAACAAACACTGCCTCTACTGCACTCTAATGGAAGTAATGGAACAAAAACAGCGTAAGAAACATTTCTCATCCGTTATCTCACAGAAAAAAAAAAAAAAAAGAACAAAAAACAAAAACCACATCATACACTAAGTAGCTATACATTTCTAAATCAGGAAACTCTGTAGAAAACTACTTTTGGAAACATAACAAAACAACTACAAAAGACTTTGCAACATTTGTATGTTCACATTCAACTGTAAAAGCAGTGTAACTGTTGCTCATCTGTTACAGCATTCTATACATGAAACATACAAACATACACAAAACAAGTCCTTTCCTTGGCCTGCCCCCTACACTGCTCTTTTTAACAATTCAGCTCTTACTGCTGTAGGCATATTCAAACCACTAGGAGACAAATACCAGTTCCTTCCAATTCAAATTAAGCAGTGAAAATATGACTGTTTTAATAGCAATTTTTCAGGTTGTCTCAGAAAGATGTTAGTTATATCAGCTCTAACAGAAAGATGTCAAAAAAGCTGCTATAACTAACATTTTCCTTACGTCCACAAATAACAGCAAAAACGATTGCCTCACTACCGCTAAAAGACATCTGATCTGTTTTGTAACTCCAATTCAGCAACCCAATTTAAGGTGCAAACAAACCACATAAAGAAGGTTTGTTCGTTGGGTTGTCGGTGGCGTATGAAGTACATACAGGAGGGAGCAGAAGAGACACAGAAAGAAGGACAAATTGACAGAGTTTGAAAACTGGGAGCTAACAGCATACTCACGTATGCGACTGTCAAGTGTAAGGACACGAGTGCTCCAAAATCAGACAGACAGAGGTGACACTATGAGAGTTACACAACAGAGAAGCCGAGGAGTAGTCTGCATTTGTTGCTTTTAGTAAGCCACTCGGCTGTACCCAAAAGCCTACCACAGCTCCCACACTGTCAGATGAAAAGCCATGGCCTATGTTAAAGACAACTGCAAACAGGCCAAATTCCTTCCGTTTACAGGAATGCCACCAATATTTTGTACACTGTTCCAAAACCATTCTCATGTAGTACTTGACGTATTACTCAACCAGAAAAATTAACAGCTCCCTTTCCACAACTGAGACCGACCAATCTTTCAGTTTCACTTCACTGCTCTACTAAGACCTGAAGAAGCATTCTGAAGAACCAACAAGAGCCAGAAGTCTTCCTTGACAGTTATTTGCTCCAAATGTTTTCCCTGGCCTGTTAATTATTTCACTGTTACCTGCACTCCATCTTCAGCTCTTAAGTGCACAGGTGCTTTTACCCACACTTTTTTTTTCCTGCTTGGTAACCACCAAGACATTTTTCTGATAAACCCCTTGAAACCACTGAGACAGGAGGGAACAGAAACAGTGTTTGCCCTGCTCCACTCAAATGCTCTGACCATTAGGCTGTCATAATCCAACTGCATGTTCCCCATTCACCAACAGTTTTCTTTAAAGCTGTGGGTTTCTTCTAACAAGAGAGAGCTCCCTGCTCCAGGTTCCAAGTGGAAAGTACCTACTGTGCCAAAACTTAACAGAGTGATGCCTATGCTCCAGACCAACAGGAGTCCACCTTACTGGCATTTACTACCAGAAATAACTGTGGCTGGTGCTACTTGCAGAGGGGCTTATATTTCTTGAAATAACATAGTTGGACTAGCCAATGAACCACAGTTGCCCAAATCTGCCAGATACATGGATGTTTTTACCCAAGAACCGTACTACCTACATGCTTGTGCCTAAAGTGGGGTTTCAACCTGACCCTCCGTATCACCGCAGCATAGCCCTGCCGACTAAAACTTCACAGCTGCTCACAACCATATGAACCAGGATTCTGTTAAAAAGCCAGCTTACAGGCAGCAAAGACACGCGCTTTATGTTGTTGAAGAATGAGGTTTCTAGTCTTAAAACACAATGGCCATAGTTTTCAGACAGTTACCTGTTGGCTGACTTACCCATGTTTCATTTCCTTCCTAGTGATTCTGCAATTAAGCAAAATATTTCTAGACATTTAGCGTTAAAGTGAAATATCTTTTCAACGCAAATATCTTTCCCTCATCAAATTATTCACTTGCAGAATCGTTTTTTTCCTAACATCTCATTGTTTAAAAGTACTACTCTTCTGCATGTGCATGGAGGCCTGCTGAAACCTACTCAGAGTTTTAAATTGAGGCACCCCGAATACTGCATTTACCACAGCCTTCAACCCCTCAGCAGTTGGAGAGTTGAAATGGGAAAATCAACCAGTAAAATAATTCAACACAAGAGCCAGAACTACCTTAAGAGAAAAGAAAAAAAAAAAAAAAGCATTCTGCTGAACATCACTGTCCTCCCTTCGAGACAGAAAAGGAGAACTTTTTAAAACAGGCAAACAAACTGAGGTTCGGCATGCATGGCTAGCGCTCCCGCACAGCCACGGCGCAGAAATCCTCCATGCCACGAACCGCCCCGTTCATTCCCCACCCAAACCTGGCCGAACACACCGCACGCAGCCACCTCTGCTCGCAGCGACTCTGGACGTTCGGAGGGGAGGACGCCTTTTGTCGGAGACCCGATTCGAGACCGCGAAAACAGCCCCTCCTCCGCCTTCTGGCGGGCAGAGGCGCCTCTTTCTCCGACTTTCGACTCGCGGAGATGCGACAGCCCAGCCCAGCCCAGCCCAGCCCAGCCCAGCCCAGCTCAGCCCAGCCCAGCTCAGCCCAGCCGCACGGCCCCGGCAGCCCCTGCAGGCCCGCTCCCCTCTCACCGCAGCGGCCCGGAGCACCGCCCAGACAGCGCACGGGAGCCGCCCCCCAGCCCCACGCTCCTCGCACGGTCGCGCCCCGCCAGGACCGGCTGCAGCCCCGCGCGGCTTTGTCACGGCCCGAGCCTCGGGCACTGCGGCGCTGGGGGGGACCGGGACGAGGAGGGGCGGGCGCTCTGAGGGCCGCCCAACCGCCGCCAACGGCCCCCAACGGTCCCCAACCGCCGCCAGCCTCGCCTCGCCTCACCTGCGCGTGGCGCCGGCGCCGCCCCCGCCCCCCTCCCATGGAGGAGCCGCCACCGCCCCGTGCTCGTTCCCGTGCCCGTGCACGAGCGCCCGCGCTCTTTCCGCAACCCCGCCCCCCGCGGCGTGGGCCCCGCCCCCGCCCCGCCCCATCGTGGCCGCAGCCGCCGCCGCCGCCGAGCTTCCGGGGGCGCCACATAAGTCCCGCCTGAGGGGCAGCGGCCGCCGCGCTGAGCAGGGCGGAGGGGAGCGGCCGCGGTACCTGGGCTGCAGCCGGTGAGTGCGCGGCGGCGGCGGCGCCCCGCGGCCGGTTGGGGGCCCGGGGGCGCGGCGCGGCGGGGGCAAGGAAAAAAAGATCGCATCGGCGCCGCTCTGCGCATGCGCGGATCTCGCCGCGCTGAGATGCCCGCACCCGGCGTGGGCGGGGCGGTGACTGAGGGCGGCGCGGTGCATTGTGGGGATTGTAGTCTGCAGGGCGTGGCGGGAGGGGGCGGCGGGGGTCTCTTCCCGCTCGGTGGGCTGCCATGGCCGCGGGCGGGCGGCGCCATCTTGGCAGCCCCCCGTGGCGCCCTGGTGCCGCAAGGTGCGGCCGGGGGTGCTGGCTGCGGGGCTGGAAACCGCCGCGCAGTTACTAAAGCGAATTAGCCGAGTGTCGGGAGCCACAACTGCTTTGGCTGAGATGCTGAAACAAAGAGTTATAGGGAACTTCCACCTTCTGCTTTCTCGTCCTCCTTAAAAGGTGTTGAGAACTGATTAGCACCTGTATAATTATGCCATTTTTATAGAGTCCCACATACAAGTAATGGCAGAGGTAGCACGTGAATTACCTGTCGCAATTATTTATTCTAAAATAAAACTGGAAGATCATGTAACTTGTCTTCAGATTTACTTTTTTTTTCCTAGGATAGAGCAAAACAAACCATAAAGACCTTAGCATTGGGGGGAAAAATAAGCAGGAACACAGGAAACCAAATATACAGGCAGGAAGCACTCTGAATGTCTCCCTTCTGGGCAGTGATCCAGCAATCTGCTCCAGTACTTAAATCAGTTGCTTTAGGTTCCTGTTCGGTACACTAGATGCATGTGGATGCTACATAATGTGTTCTTTCTTCCCTGGCTTATGTGCACTCCACCCAGTTTTTATAGCAGAAACTGGCACAGCAGGAATGAAGACAGTTTCTCCTCAGCTGAAAAGAGCTGTGGTCCTGCTCAGATGTATCTTCTGGATGTGCAACATTGTTAATTTTTTTAGAGCCCACAGCCATGTGCTGCACAGGGAACATTCACTGCCTCAAGCAAGACATGCACAATAAGCAAAAACTACAGGAAGAATACAGGCTGTTCTGGAATGTGTTTTCTTGCAATGTGTGAAAATCTGTTAAACCAAAATGGTCCATTATCCCAGTATTTCAGTGAGGAATAATACCTAGCTACTTTTGACTTCCAGATGTGCTTGGGTAACTGCTGATTCACTTTCAGGAGAAGCCCTGAGCGAAGCTTAAGTGCATATCCCTTGCAGATAGAGTGCTGGTAAAGAACAGTTAAAATAATCTTTTCTTATCAGATATGCTAGTTAATCAACTGCTTTAAAACAACAAAAATAATACTTTTATCATGGTAGCCTCACCTTCCTTCCTGCTCTTATCCAATTTACCAACTCTGTCAAGTGTTTTGGCTTGTACTATCAGCTTTGGCTTGTACTATCAGTTTCCAAGAAACTGCTCTGCCAGCCAAAATTGCTAGAAACAGTGCCATGTTCTGGCTTCACTCCTTCCTATTCTGAAACACCCTCTTTCCTGGTAGAGAGGGTTGTACTGCTAAGCGTTTTATCTGTACGAGTTCTCTCAATTAGGAGAATTTTGCTTTCAAATTGTAATGTTGAATGACAAGAGACTTGGCTGTTTGCGAAAGACAGGTCTTGGTTATGTAAAACAAAGTATTCAGTGGGGCAAAGGTCTTGTCATTGCTTGAATGTGAAGTTCCTGGCATTCATTTGACGTTGATAACACAGCCCAGCTATATACGAGGAATATGATATTCTATAAATAACATACAGCATTTTACTTTCTGGGAGAAACAGTGTGACTAAAAGCAGACATAATCACAGTAGAGCTCTTTACCTCTTTCCAATTCCCGGTGTAGTAAAGGCAGGTGAGAATCTCAAAATTGGAAAATAAATATCCCGACTTACACATTAATCTTTCAAATAGCATCACTGCATGATGAAATTGCATGGATGCTGGAGTGACTGGATATTGTCATTATCCCTACAATCATGTGCCACTTAGCAGATAGGGCAGACAGCCTGATTATTGCTTTTAGCAGGCTATGCATTGCCATGCTGTGTAGTCTTGGGACACTGCAAAGATAAGGAAGAAATTTGGCGAATGCTCTGGATAACCAGCATTCATTAAAAAATTATGACATGGCAGACTCCAAGTCTGATCCTGCTCTTGTAGGAGGCAATTAGAGCAGGATCAAAGAGCTGCTTCATCTACTAGTTTATTAATACAGGAGCAGATCTTAAAAAACAACAACAACAAAAAACAACCCTGAAATCACACAGTGTCTGCATGAATATGTCTGCCTATCATTAATTGATAATTATTTTGAGGCTACTTGTGGTAGACCTAAACTTTTCCTGTGCCAATGACGCATTTTACTAATGATATTTTAGTTTATTAATATGATCAGAACAGTCAGCCCATGTCAGGGAATTAACTGTCTACTTATGTGCAGAAGCACGTTTGGGACTTCAGAATCCAGTTGTCAGACGAATTAATGATGAAAATAAATTTGTCAGTCTCTGTCTGGGGAGTTCGTTTCTCCTATTTGTCTGTTTTCTCATCAGGGTGTCTATTTGGACACATTTAATCCCCAGCACACCTGTATGGGAAACTATCCAAATGTTTAAGAATAAGAAAAGTTATTTCTTTCTGGTCTCATTTTCCTCCCCACTCTGTAATGAATACAGTGGAAGACTCCATCATTCAGAAGTTTTAAATTATACATTGACAAAACTAACTTTGTATGCAACAAAGTAGCGTGCTCAATAGTGTTCCTTATCCTTATCTCTCATGTTGATGACAGCATGGGTTATCAAAAGCAGTGCAGTGTGTGGTGTGATATGCTCTCAGGGGCACAAAGCTTGAAAGATACGAAGCAATTCATGGGATTAAAATACAGCTGCCCTAAGCTTTCTGGAGAGAGAGCTCAATTGGATCAGTCAACATGCTGCATTATCAGGATACCTCTGTCTAACTACAGTAATCCAGTAAAACTAGCCTAAACTAGGAGAAACTTGAAGATATGCTGCTGTGGCAGTTGCTCCGTCTGACAAATATTGTGCATTTTGTGCAGGTTAGCAATGGTACGCAGTGGAAAAAATGGTGGCCTCCACCTGAAGCAGATTGAATACTACAAAAGAACGGGGGAATATCATCCCACCACGTTATCAAGTGAAAGAAGTGGAATCAGGAGAGCAGCCAAAAAATTTGTTTTCAAAGGTAAACATCTTATTTCAAACTAATTGGAAATTTTAATTTTTTAGACGAAGATTTACGGATACAAAAATTGAAAGTGCTATCTTGCTCTGCAGCATGCCGTGATGTTAATGTACATCCTTCATGAAACACACAGGCTGCCTATCCCACGTTAATATATAACAGAATGTTTGCAGAAACACTACCTGCATGAGTCCTTACTGGAAAGGTTTTATGTATCTGTCTGAAAGCCAAGCCTTGTTTTGGATACCAGATTTGTATCCATTGCAACCCATGATTCATAGAACTACAGGAGGACAAGCCCTGGTCTGCAGCTATTGACAGGGAACATTTGACCCTGTGCTGGAGCACCATGGATGTGGGCAGCAATGCAAGCATGGGTTTGCTGTCTGTCACCTTGGAGCTTCCACACCCACCCTAGCTTTGTTGTATCCTCAGGAAGAAATCTGCAGGTATTGAGCCTTGGTGGTTTGCTCTGTGCTCTCAATCCCATCAAACCTGCCCAGCCTTCTCAGAGAAAAAGAGCAGGAAGGAGTTAAAGCTGAGGATCACAATGTACAGTTACTTGGCAGAGAGGCAATATGCCTCATAACACGTCCTGCGTTCCCTTCTCACTCCCAGCACTAGGTGTAGTTTCTGATGGACTTTCCATGAGACCATAGTTTGCAGTCTGATTTGACCTTGTAACACCTCATGTCCAGGTTAATAAATACTGGTGAATGCTTGGCTCTTGGGAGAAAATAGTTAAAAAGAAAATTCAAACAAACACACAGACAAAAACAAACAAAACACCAAAACAAACAAACAAACAAAAAAAACACCCTACTTTCACGCAAAGGTAAAATGAAGATGGCTTACTAAATTGTATACTGGGTCATGCCCAGTAGTTTACTAAACTAAACAACTGCAGAAGGCAAAGCACTCATGTATAACTTCCTGGTATTTTTCTTCCAGAAAATAAATTGTTCTATGTCGGAAAAGACAGAAAACAAATGCGCCTGGTAATTGTTTCAGATGAAGAGAAGAAAAAGGTGCTTGCGAAATGCCATGAAAATGCTGCAGGCACACATCACGGTATATCAAGGACACTGACCTTAGTGGAATCTAATTACTACTGGACCTCTATAACAAATGATGTCAAACAGTGGGTATGGTTTCATAGCTACAGGATATTTTTTTAATGTAGTCTGTGTTGCAAGCATTTTGTAATCATATGACTTTGATACAGTAATCACCCATACTGCTTCATGATGAGGAAACATAAGCTAACAATCAAACTTTAAATTGACTGTATGCCGAAGCACAGTGCTTTGTTTTTATTTTTCTTTTTTCTTTTATTATTGACCTTGTAATTTGCAATATGTTAGCCAATGGTAGGGAGCCATACTGCATTTCAGTATGCAGGTCACATGGGGTCTTTGGGAGGGATTTCTTTAGCAAGCTGTATTGCCTATCTTCATTAAGATGCAGTGTACCATCCCTGCAGTGTACAGCTGGCCAGAGTGGCTGCTGGCAGATGAAAATTGGCTTCTGCCTTCAAAGTAGGTTTGGGAAGCAGGTAAGCAAATTGATGCTTAGGACTGTTCCTTCTCCTTCACCCAAATACATGTTCACATAATCCCTAGGCAGAACTTGATCCATGAGCAAGCCCTATGTAAAAATGTTCCTTGTGGCAAAATTATTGCTGCTATCAGCTTGCTGTATCACCTAAGTATTTAGAGTCCATGCGCAACTGTAACATGAACTGAAAATGTGTCTTTGCTTTCGCTTCAGACTTAGAAAAGTCTGGTTCTGTCCTGTAGCTCAAGCTGACCCGTGTTCTGTATGGCAGATGGTGCTTACTGCCAATGTTTGACAGCCACAGCATACTCAGTAGAACCAAAAGGGAAATTATTGGGATTTTTTTCCTTTCAATCCAGATGTTTCATACTTCCTTTAGTATTTACAGATGATCATTTTAAAGTTTATACTATGGACTTGAAAGAGCACAGTGCTTTCAGGATGAGCACAGTTCATCCTGAACTGCTGTGCATTTCCTTTTCCTGGCCTTCACTATTTGGTTTTGTTTTGTTTTTATCCTGGGGCTGAAAAACCTAATGACAAAAAATCATAGGGAAAGATAAAACGAGTTCATCTGACATTGCCTGGGTCTGACCTGACCTAGAGAGAAATAATGGAGATTTATGATATTTTGTTGTTGTAAACCTTCTACATCACTTTTTATTGATAGCATCTCCCCTGGTTTCTGCACTAGGTATATGCATGCCAGCATTGCCAAGTGGCAAAGAATACAACCACCACCACGCCCAAACCACACCCTATCAAAGCAGAGGACCCCTGGACAGCAGTCACTGTAGCCCTAGTGGGACCTTTTAATGTTACCAACAGAAGCCACAAGTATATCATAATCATGATAGATTTGTTCACAAAATGGGCTGTTATTTTGCCTCTGCATGACACTTCAGCAGCTGAAATTGCTAAGGCAATCATCAGTGTATTTTTCTTATATGGACCACCTCAAAAAATGCCTATTGATCAAGGGAAGGAGCTTGCTCATCAGGTATGTCTTTACATAGGTTTCGTTTGTTTGTTTTGAGAAAAATATTTTTTTTCCCCATAATAATTTTAGGCCATTCTTGTGGGAAAAAAAAATAAATCTGATACCCAAATGTTTATTTTCTTTAATCAAAAAAAAGTAGGTTCAGAAATTGACAAATTGATTATTTGCAATTGTAATATTATGCATCATTTCCCAGGGATGTTTTCGTTTGGTAAAGAGCAAAAAATGCATAATGTGTATCTTGCCACTTAATTGGAGTGGCTCAAGCTTCCACATACCGACATGTTGCTGTATTTCATCTGTCAAGTATTTCATATTGCTCAGTATAGCAGATAGGCCAATGTCAAAAATATCCTTAGATACAGTGATAAAGAAGAATTACTCACTCTTTGATCCCTTCAGAGATCATGAAATCATGAGGCTATGATATGGAAAAAATGACAAATTGTGTTAGTGGCAGAAGTGCTTTTAGAAACCATCTATTACTGGCTCCAGAGCTATACTGATTCCTTTAGCTCTCATTCCTAAGTCTGGACTGTTATGTATATGTATAGAAGAGTTTTGCTTGGCCATCATCTTACCAACAAAGTAGGTAGAAACTTTCAATAATTGTCTTCTTTTTCTTTTTAAGATAAACAAAGAACTATTTGCGCTGTTTGGAATGAAACAAATAGTATTGTCTTATCCTCAGACTGATGAAGTTAATGAAAGAACATGCAAGACAATCAAAGCTTTCCTTAACAAATACTGCACAGACCATCCAAATGATTGGGATGAACATCTGTCAGCTATTGCCTATGCATTCAATTTGACTAATCTGGTAAGTCGAAGTTCTTCCTTTTTTGACTGAAGTCCTCCAAAATACCTGCAAAATGGTATGTTAAATTTGCTTGCTTTTTACTCCCCACTTAAACAGGAGCCAGATCAAACCACTCCCTATTTCCAAATGTTTAATCGTAACCCATACGTTGTTGAACCAATGAATGTATGTATGGAAGAAGACAATATGTTTGCCAAAATATTTGAAGCAACCAAAAGAGCCAGTCAAGCACTGGAAGAAGAGAAAACCTCAGACTGTCAGGTAAATGGTATAATTTCAAATTTTCCTAGGATGGGGACAGAAGAGAGAGAAGATGGAAAGACTTGAGGTTCAAAGTATAACCTTTAGCAATACATTTTTTTTCTTCTCTTTGGCCTGGGATCCATAGATTCCAGCATACATATGCTTGTATGCATGTGGAAGGAGTAAACTTGAGAGGAGACCTATTTCCAGGAGATTCATGTTTGACTTTGAGGGCTGCGTATGCATGGAAGCTGAAAAATATTGCCTATGGACTTAAAACATGAAGATAAAATCCCCTTCTACAGAACTCTCCAGCTTTACGCATTATGAATTACACACGTCTAAAGACATCTGATATTTTTGATATTGCATTATTAACCAATGTTATGAAAATACATGATTACTTCTGGAAAAAGGAAATGTACTTCATATCTATATCTTTTGCAGGTGGAGAAAACCTCTTCAGATGAACAGAAAACCAGAAACAAAATCACTGTCAAAAAGAAGACAAAGCAATTAAATACCCTTCAACTTAAAGTTGGTCATGAAGTTCTCAGACAAAGAAAAAACTGGTGGAAAGATGGTCGTTTCCAGTCAGAATGGGTTGGTCCATGTATTATAGATTATATCACAGATAATGGATGTGCAATTTTAAGAGATGCTACAGGATCCAGGTTGAAAAGACCCATCAAGATGTCTCACCTCAAGCCATACATAAGAGGGTCCAATGAAAAAGGTATATACGTGTGTATTTTATGTGCGTGTATATGTTTGTATGTATTTTTGTTAAGTTTTCCTGTCATGGTGTTAGGTGAGGTAGTGAGCAAGTATCATTCACTCACTAGTGTGAATTAAACCACTGGGTAGTAATTACTGTAATCAATTTTCAGTAATGAGAGCAGTGAGTGTGAGTGGCTTTAAACCTATGCAGAGCATGGAACAGAGCTAATGAATCATGTTTAAAGCCTGTTTAAAAATAGTTTCCATTACAGTTGCTTTTAATATGTGGTTTGGCCCTGTTAATGCTGGCTGGCCAAAACATGTGAGAAGTATAATTCAGCTGAACTATATTCAAAGAGCATTTTTTAACTCCTATGTTCCTGTTTTGATATAGACAGGATTCGCATTCATTTTCCTCATGCAATGGAAATGTAATTTCTTTTGCCTTATCTGACTAGTATATATGGTACCTGTTTAGGTTTTATTTTTGAGCAACAAAAACGGCCTATTTGCTAAAACCTTAAACAAAGACTACCTCAGAGCTGATTTTTGAAGAGTTAGTTTTAAGTTTCGGTACTGAAGAGGTAAACGGATTTCTTGTCCCAGAGCAATAAAATGTCATGCTCAAAAGTAGAATTTGCGGAAATTCCCAAACACTTGGGAAATCAACTGACAATGTTACTCTTACACATTCAGTGTACTCTTTAGCAATGGTGCTGCTTTAATCAAACAACAGCAGCTGTTTCTTTTCTACTGATGCTATCTTTGGGTCACTTCAGGCATTTGGAATAAAACAAGTACTTAGTGTTCGGAAGACTTTTGTCTCAGAACTGCTTTGTTGTTCAGGGTTCTTGAAATGAAATTCCTACCCTCTTGGCATGTGTGGTTAAGTCCTGATTCTTCAAAATGCATAAACTGCATTGAGACAGCCACCTCTCCCATCACCTCCTAAAACTGAGGAGCTTGCAAAGCTGAAACTAATTCTGGAATTTCACATAGGAAGCTGGTATTGAGGCCACTTGTCAGCCTCCATTGCAGTTTGAGTAAACAAGAACAGCAGTGTCACATTGCTTCTCCTGGACACTGCTCTGCGTCTCATTCTGCATCTTCCAGCTCTTTGCTGAATTACTGAGCTGTATGGAGGAAGTCACACACGTGTCCTGCAGGCAGGTCCTCTCCAGCTGCTGCAATGACTTCGGAATGTGGAAAAAGTGCATCTTAGGTGAGGTATCTATGGCCTGTAGGTGTTATTAAGTATTTTGCTTACACTTCAGATTTTGGAGCAGCGTATCTTCTCTGTATAACACTAGAAGCGTGGATTTAAACTTTTTAAGCAGGAAAGACAAGTCCTGGAAATGGAGTGCTTATATTTTACATGATTTGAAAATCTTCTGCAGGTAAGAAAGGGCAAATAGAAGCAAGGTATTTTTCAAACCTTTTGTAATAATCTTGACCTAAAGATAACTCTTGAGTCAGTGCATTGATATATGCTCTTTGTATAGGCATTGCAGATTAAAAGTCTGTGTGGACCTGGGTTGTTGCTTGCTAGCCAGATGTTTGTATAGCCTAGTAGAGGTTGCAGGACACCATGCAGATGTACATATGTACATCTGTGTGTCCGAAGCAATATTTTTTCTTGAGTGTGGTTTATTTTAAATATTAATCTCAATAGAATCCCAGTGGTTCCAGTGCTCAGACAATTCAGAAGTGCAAATACTTTGCACTTCAGATTGAGGACACATCTGTTGAGAAACATAACTTGCGGAGGAATTTGTAGCCCCTAAAATACTTGATTTGACATAAGGGTCCTCATCTGAGCAAGAAAGTTTGCCCTAAGTCATCTTCCAAAACAAAAGTATAAACCCCATGAGGACACTTACACATTTAATTTGGCTGGTCAGACTATTTTTATTTTATTTGAACTCACTTGGAAAAATCAAACATAGCAAGCATATGTTAGATAGAAGAAAAGTTCAATAGTACCGTACAGCAGCAATCAACATTATGGCCTTTACATTCTATAAAACTGTTTTATTTCTTTTTTATTTCTTAAAGTCTATTGTTTTGAATTGTGATTTCCCAGCAATAGTTAGGAGATGACACATTACTTTGTGAGTTGGTGTACAACATGAAAGAATCCGCATGCCTGTTCTTGTTTGGTATTATTAGTTCAGTAGCTGACTATGACAGGCCTCAAGCTAGTCCACTGACATAGCAAAAAAAGAAGAAAAAAGGTGACCTTTCCTTCTTAACATGAAGTACTGCAAGCATTATTTTATGGATATATGAGATGCAACCAAATATTTGGTGCTTAGTGAAATTAGCACCATGTAATCAGATTCCTGCCACTCAAACTTTCTTATCTTACAAAAATAGTTTTGAAAAGTAAGTTGGCAACTCACTATCATTTTAAGTATGGCTTTCAGTAAACTAGGAGCATCTACTTTAATGGGTACTTTTATTTTGCAGACAACCACTACTTCTTACAAGGTGCAGTAGTTGTTGACCATGACTACATTGGTGTATCTGAAAGATCATATACTCCAAGCCAGCAAGACCCTATCGCTGAAGGGGAAATCAACACCTATGCAAGAGGTGTCATGTCTGCGGCGCAAATGCCACCTTCAGCCTGCAAAGACCAAGATCCAACAGATGGCAAACATCAGTCTGAGGCAACAGAAGATCATTGCATTGAACCAAACAATGCAAAGCCAGAGCAATGGCCTTCACCTTGCTGGACACTTCCGACCAAGATAGAAGACACTTAAGCAAACGGTCTCCTGTCATAGTTCAGTGGCAGTTTGGAGTGCCTGTGGCATACTGAACAGTTCTAAATTCCTCAGCCAAATCCACTTTACTCTATGAATTTAAGAATACTGCAGGTATTCAGTGGTTAATTTATATGGGCATTAAGAAACAATCACTCTGTTAACAAAATGTAGGCACAACCTAGTAAAAGCACATGTTCTACTACTGTTTGAATTTAAGAACACTGTAAGTGTTCTTAAGTGTAAGTGGTTAATTTACGTGGGCATTGAGAAGTAATCACTTGAGTACCAGAAGTACTGTCCCAACTTAGTGAAAGTGTAAGTAGTTTTCATTGTGCATTTGAATTCCAATTTTTGCTGGTAAAATGGCAATATGGCCCAACCCTACTGTCACCCTCTCAGGACACAGCACATCCTTTCACAGTAATGATGTTTTCATTAATCCTTACTTGACTCCTGACTCATTGCTAATATGCAGACGTATTGTGGGATAAATATGATCTAAGCAACTTAAAATATTTTTTTTCTCCCCTGTACAAATGTAAAGAAGATTATGTTGTCATTTTCTTGTGAAAGAACTGTTTCTCATTCTTTCTGAGAAGCTGCAAGCTTGGACTTGTCAAGAGGCAGGAGACCTTTTCTCCATTAACACCAGCGACAGGACCCGCGGGAACGGGGTTAAGCTGAGGCAGGGGAAGTTTAGGCTTGACATCAGGAGGAAGTTCTTCACAGAGAGAGTGGCTGCACACTGGAACAGGCTCCCCAGGGAAGTGGTCACTGCACCGAGCCTGACTGAATTTAAGAAGAGATTGGACTGTGCACTTAGTCACATGGTCTGAACTTTTGGGTAGACCTGTGCGGTGTCAAGAGTTGGACTTGATGATCCTTAAGGGTCCCTTCCAACTCAGGATATTCTATGATTCTATGACTTTCACAGGTTTTAATTTGTAGTCTAACCCACCGCTCTAAGATCTCACAAAACAGTAAAGCCGTCAAAATCAAATACAGCGAGTATTTTGGACATGAAACAGTGTGGCTTTAGCTGCTCCCTGCTCATCAAAGCTCTGCTAAGGAGAGCAATTTCAGTTCCTCACACGTGGCAGAATCTTAGCAGTGGTCAGCATTCATTTGTGCTTTCCTCACAAACATCTGATTTCCCTGACTTCTTCCCAGATCTAGCGTGGGTTTGGAGATTTCCGCTGACAGTTCTCTAGGAAAGGTGAGGACCAGCGTTACTTATTCTCTGAATTCCTGAAGTTATTACAGGCTTCCTGCAAGGAAGACTCTATTTCATGGTAAGATGAAAACATATCTACTGCTAAAGTTACGTGAACAGGAACTCTTTCACGTGTAAAACTGATGAGGGCAAGCTGGTTCTATTTATAGGGGAGTGACAGGAAGAGGAAGAATGCTAGTAGAGAGCTGAATTTAGAAATGCAGCAACTTATGTCAGATGCTGAGGAGGACTTGCTTATCTTGCTCTCTGAATAGTTGTATTCTGTCATCTTTGCTGCTGGATGTCATGTGACATAATACAGGTGGCTTTTAGTTAGCTTAAATGGCTGGATGCATTGCTATTGTCTTTTGTCAAAATCTAGAAGAGGAAAGTATTGTTTATTAAGGGTTTTCAGCTAATCTTAGGTAAAAAGACTTTGTCCTCAAGGCTAATGAGATATCTAGCTTATGCAGAAATTCACACCCATTGTGCAGTACGCCCACAGTGTCATGGGCCTGAGCTGTGTAAAAGAACAGCGCAGCACAATGGTGGTATTCCAGCATCTGATCTTAAAACCCCTCTGAAAGTGCTTAATTCTCGAAAGTGCTTAATTCTCGGTACTTTTTCCCCACTGAGACTGAGAAGGCAGTTGCGGGGAGGCAACTGGGGATGTGGGCTGTACAGAATGGCATGCAGCACACAGTATTTGCGGTGGGTGTGGACAGCAGCAGAAGATATTTATTAACTGCTGCTACCTGCAGGCTGTGCCGCCCTCTGGGGACTGCTGCTCTTCGGATCTCTGCTCTAGTGCAGTCAAGGTAGGGTTGGGGAAATATGCCTGTTGTCTTTGTTGTTGTTGTTGTTGTTGTTTTAAAAAAAAAAAAAAAAAAAAAGCTAGGGAATTCTGTGAAATTACATTGAACTATTTGAACATTGAATAGAAAAAAAAAAAAAAGCTTGCAAACGGGATGTAACTGGTAACTGTGAGCATTGGCCTTACTTGGATTTTATTTTTTCCACCAGTAGTGAGCGCTGTGGTCACACAGTATTTTTTTTTTTCTCCAGAACAGCCAATTCAGGTGCTGTGCCCAGTTTCATGGGCAGCGGCTATTCAAGTCCTGAACCTTCCCTGAGCAACCAGAACAGTGGCTACCAGATCCTTTAACAGAGACCCAGGTTATTTAAACCAATCCCTCCTCCTTCATATCTGCCTTTATTTCTTCTACTACCCAGAGTGATCACTACCCAGAATAACATCTGCTAGGATGGCTTTATATTGTTGGATGCATTGTGTGTGTGTGAAATATATATGTGCGTGTATGAAGTGTGTGTGAAATATATATGTAATTATATATATATTTTTGCTTTACCTTCCCTGTTCCTTATTCAGACGCAGTTCAGTGGAGCCCTTTTCTGTGGTAGGTGTGCAGGGGAGCTCTGGGGTAACGAGTGCTGTGTACTTGTTATAGCCACATTGGAGAGAAATAAAATGCTAAACTGGCAGTGGATAGGAAAAACAGCAACTATTTAACAAACTGTGTAATGCTGATCATTCAGGTTTCCTAGTAATTGCGATATACTGTGTTAACAGGCAGCCATTAGTGCCTCTTGGGTGCTCCCAAATGAGACCTTCTCTGCACGTGGGAGGTTTATTGAAATAAAATACAGGAGTTTCAAGCTAGCAACTCAAAAAGCAATCACTGGAAACAGAAAAAGATGCCACCAGGAAACCTGAGACATAGCAAGCAGCATGCTGTGCTTGGTAAGCTGAGGGAAACCTCACACCTTGGCCTAGTGAAGCACTCCTCAGCATGTCCCTATGCCCACAGTGAGTTGTCAGCACCTGCTTCTGGCTCATGTTTTGACCAACCTGTATAAAATTACTAATGCCCATCTGTAATCGTCTTCTCCACTGGCACACAGGTCTGATTTACGATGGGATAGTAGTGGAAGACTACTGTTATAAAAGCGTTCATGGAAATTCTGTTTTCACATAGAGTTTGTGCCCCCTTATGGCCTCTTTCTCAGAGAAGAGAAATAGAAGGGAGCACAGCATGAAGGAACTGACAATTCCCTTGTTTCTTCCAGAGCAGAAATATGAGCGTTTTTCCTTTGGGTTTGCTACTACCACTAATTACCACCTCCTGTTTGTACTGGGTCTGGCTGGAATGTTAACTTTCCCTGCAGCAGCCCATACAGTGCTGTGCTCTGCACTTGTAGCTGGAACAGCAGTGTTATCACACCAGTGTTGTGTCTACTGCTGAGCAGCACTGGCACAGCATCGGGCCTCTCCCTAACCCTCCTAGGGGGTGGGCAAAAAGTGAGAAGAGAAACATCACCAGGGCAGCTGACCTAAACCAACCAAAGGGATATTCCATACCATGTGGTGTCACACTCAGCAATAAAAGGTGGAAACAGGAAGAAGAGGGGAGGGGTGGGCTCTTGTGGTGAAAACGTCGGTCCTCCTCCCAAACACCAGCTACATGCATTGAGGCCCTGCTTCAAGGACGTGGTCAATCATTGCTCATTTGTGGGAAGTAGAGGGTAATTTCTTTCCTCTGCACTTCCACATAGCCTTCATTTGTTTTATTTGTTTGTTTTCCTACTTTTTTTTAATTTCCCCTTTCCCTTTTTATTTCCCTTTAGTTAAATTGTTTAGTTCATAATAATCTTTATTATTATTATTTCCCTTTAATTAAATTATCCTTATCTCAACCCGTGAGTTGTTCTTTGCTTTACTTCTAAAAAAGATTTTCATCTAAGAAGAGGGGGAGTGAGAGAGCGGTTGTGGGGTTTAGCTGCCCAGCATGGTAAAACCACCACACCATTTTATTAAATTTAAAACATCCCAGAAAACAACAGTCTTTCACTAAAAGTATTCTATGCAAGCACTCACAGTGTTTCAGTATGAAATAAAAAACATACCTCTCTTATTTGAATACTTCCTGAACTTCTGTGTAGCATTTGCCCATTTTTTGCTAAAGTGCTCTTCCATTCCAGTTTCAGACAATACTTGACATTTTAAAGTTTTTTTTCCCTCCATCTCCCTAGAACTGAATGTTCCCTGCTGGAGGACGGATGAGTCATGATTTGTTTTTCACAATAAGCAGTTAAATCTTCTGGAAATACTGCTTTTGAGATATAGATAAGTTTCCTTTATGCATTTGGGTACAACATCTGTCTGTCTCAATGACCTTTAATAGCTGTATCATTTCTCTAATGACCTAGCATCAAAATCTGTTTGCACAGTAACCTTGGTATTTTCAAAATAAGTAATGGAATATTTTATTTTTATTCTCATGGCAGTTGAGTGGATGCTTTCAATTAACTTATTGGAGTACCTGAAAATAAAACACGCAAGCATCCCCAATGCCAGAAACTCAGCACAGCAGCAGCTGTCCATCATCTCATGGCCTGAGAGCGTGCTGCTTGCCTGTGAATTCCACAGAAGAAAATGGCACCTTAGAAGTCCGTAAGACCGGACGCGTCAATTAGAAGGCTGAATAAATGAGGGGGAAATAGCAGTGTCTCCAGGAGATAATAGGTTTTACCTCTTCTACGCATATTGGAGGACCTATGGGCCTAGTGCTAGGCCTGCTATATAGGCCTGCAGGAACTGCTAATCCTGAGAGGTGCATTCCCCTGCCACTTCTCCTTTTCTCCTGTGCTTTTACACTTGCAAACATAGTATGGGGCTGTGTAAGTGTGCAAACCACTGTATGTGAGTTGTGTGAGCTGCCTGTGAATTTGTCCCATGTAGCAGGCACTGCTGCAGGCTCTGAGGGTAGGTCTGGGTGTCTAACCACAGGGCTCCTGGCTGTGGTCTGTGCAGTGCTTCTTGCCCTGGTGCTGTGCGGAGTGTGATGGTGAGGAAGGGACCTGCAGCAGCTTCAGTAGCAGAAATTGCTGTGCTGTGAGCAGGGCAGGTCATAGGAAGTGCAGCAATCTCTGTCTGCAAGGCAGTGCTGCCCTGCTGCAGATTGCCAGCGCAGTGGCCCACAAATCACATGGATAAAACTTTCCATAATTTACAGGTTGTAATGTATGTGGTCCTTTTCTGGTGCTTGGTAAGAATTGCTGAGCTTTGATCAGAAGGAAGGGAGTACTCAGAACTGCAGCTGACAGCAAGAAGCAGTGCCTTGAATGTATAAAGTGATATGCAAGTGGGTTAAAAAGGAACAAATCAGATTTCACAAACTCAGTACTTCAAAGTATTTGACATTTTTTGACAATTTATGCCTTAAATCTCTATACGCCTCACTGCCGCCTTCTGTACAAAATGAATAGCACCGTGTCAGTTCTCAGGCATACTAAAAAAAAATAAGCATAACTTCACAAAGCTGGCAGGCACAGCAGTGAAAGCCTCCTAGAAAAAAAAAAGTCCACAGAAAAATGAGTTCTGTATTTTGCGCAGAATTTCAGTGATAGGTGGTTAATAATGCACGGGGTTCCCCATCAGAGGGATTAACTTGACTTTGAATGTTTGTCTTGTCAGATGCCATCCATCATTTCCACAGATTAAAGACCTAGAAAAAGAGCAGGAACTGTTCCTGTAGCAACACGACAGGATTCAGCAAACTTTCAGCAGTATTTTAGTTTAGTTTTTCCATTTAGTTTAACTTTCAGGCTCTGTGGGCCCAGGTACCTGGCATGGTCATGGGGTGGCCTCCTGTCCTGGAGGCCTTCACACCCTGCGCCTGGCACTGCCTCAGCCTCTGAGGCACTGAGAAAGCAGGGCAGCTACCAAAACTGTTTCTCCAGGAAGGCATTTCCTTCCCAGACTATGCTCTCATAAAAGGCTGCACATCGGTGTTTTGGCACTGGCTCTGTAGTTACACAACAGTTTTAGCGTGTCAACTGAAAAAGAATTAACAATTTAATGCTTACTTCAAATGAAACTGTAGCCATACACACAGGCTTAGCATTTGGCTGAGTCAACACATTTCAGATTTTGTCAGTGGGCTGTAGTTCAGTGCAGGTAGGGAAGGGAAATCCTTTGGAAACAACGATGGGAGGAAGGTTCTGGAAGCCACCAGCAGGTTAAACACAACCTGGAGCACGCTGCCTCCTGCTGGCACATTGGTTTGGGGGCACTGGCAGCCACTAGCTCAAGGACTAGTTAAAAGGCATCTGTGTGTGGAGGGGCAGGGAGAAATAAAGTATGATTGAAAGGTAGAAATGTTCCTGGGGAAATAGCACAGGCATCTGCCTGCCATTTTTGTGTCACGGGCTGTTTGCTTCTTCATGCAGAGGGAGTCATCAAAACCTTAGGCAGGTGATGGCGTGGGAAACATCAGAATGGAAACTGGAGCCAGATAATTATGGAGATATAGATGTATTTCTGCGAGCAATGCAACCAGCATTGTTTGAATGCTGCATGACTGACCTTTCATGTAAGTTATGTATCAAAATAGTCTGCTGGAGCACTAGGTAGCTCACACCATAACTGCCACTGGTGACAAATATTCAGTATAGCTTTGCAGTTTCCTGAGATCCAGCCTCCTTTAAGTACCCATTGAATTTTGGTGGCTGTGATCACAATCTCACAGAGAAGTGCCTGGAAAAAGCCACCCCTGCAGTTCAATGTGAGTGGTGCAGTGTGGGACTTAAGAGACACAACTTAAAAAGAAATGGCAACATTGTGGGATACAGTTGTTTTTGCATTACAACTTTGCATTAAGTAAACAAGTCTCTCCTGAGCTGCAGCTTTAGGACAAGCCAAGAAAGCAATAACAAACGTTGTGGCAGTTGTGGTTATCAAAGCACTGTGGGCTGGACCTGCAGTGGCTGGGACAGGATTCTGCTCTTAACACCTGTGTAATTAGAAAACAGATTCAACCTGCTATTGCTTGTGATGGCTATGAAAATGGGTTGCCATACCCCATTCTTACTTTCTTACATTTTTTTTTTCTTTTTCTTTTACATTCTAATAATAATACTAAAAATATTTTAGTTTCTCATGTTTGTCAGTTTGAAAACTAATTGTAGTCAGCAATTAATAATTGTTTACCAAGTTTGCTTAACTGTTACGCCTATTTGCTAGGAACAAATTGTTCCATGGCATTGTCAAAATGATACTTTTGGCATAGGTCCCTAAAAAAAATTTGCATCTACGTCTTTTATGTTTTTTTTTTTTTTTTTTTTTTTTTTTCCAGTGGAATCACTCAAAGGATCACTCGCAGAATCTGTTGCTTCACATGCAACAAATTAATCGAAACACTAGCAGAAAGGACCTGAAGAAAAGATCAGTTTAGTATTTAGAAACATCTAGAGCAACTTGCAAGTTGCATCCGATATAGCTCTCCCATGCACCTCTCCAAATACTTGTGTAGCAAAGCCAGGTAAATGCTTCTTTTTGTTTTGAAAGCCCAAGGTCCAGAAACAGCAAGAAGTTTGCAGGTTTTGCTTGGTTATGCAGATGAATCTCAATATTTCACAGGAACTGAGGAGGAATTTGAGAGCAGTTACAACATAACATAAATTTTGCTAACAATTTTTGATAATTTGCAAT